ACCTCTTCTGCTGGGACCTGATTATTACCATTTTAAGCTTTTTAGAATGATCAATTTTAATTTTAATTTTTGCTGCTACTGGACACCTGAATTTCTCCTACGGGAATCAATAAAGTATCTATCTACAGGGGTAAGCAGTCACTGATATTATAATACATCCATTTACCCCACCAATGTTATGAAGTGGTGGGGTATATGGGAGTGGGAGGGGGCTAAGACCACGACCTACAACCCCTCCCACTCTGAGGAGATACTACTTTTAATGGAAAAGCACCCATACTCGGCCGTGCCATACCAGACTGTACCGTGACAATGGAAAAGCGCCATAATACAGGCTTCTATACTAGATTTCACATGCATGTATACTGAGACCAGAGAGACCGGAGAGAGACCAGAGAGAGACCAGAGAGAGACCAGAGAGAGACCAGAGAGAGACCAGAGAGAGACCGGAGAGAGAGCAGAGAGACCAGAGAGAGACCAGAGAGAGACCAGAGAGAGACCAGAGAGAGACCAGAGAGAGACCAGAGAGAGACCAGAGAGAGACCAGAGAGAGACCAGAGAGAGAGACCAGAGAGAGACCAGAGAGAGACCGGAAAGAGACCGGAAAGAGACCGGAGAGAGACCGGAGAGAGACCGGAAAGAGACCGGAAAGAGACCGGAAAGAGACCGGAAAGAGACCGGAGAGAGACCGGAGAGAGACCGGAGAGAGACCGGAGAGAGACCAGAGAGAGACCAGAGAGAGACCAGAGAGAGACCAGAGAGACCAGAGAGACCGGAGAGAGACCAGAGAGACCGGAGAGAGACCAGAGAGAGAGATCAGAGAGAGAGAGACCAGACCAGAGAAAAAACACCAGAGAGAAAGACCAGAAGGAGACACCAGAGACCCTTGTGCCTGGTCCTCACCTGCAGCTCTTCCAGGTGTTGTAAACGGCCAGTTCCATGTCCTCGGTCTGATCAGGACTGAACCGGAACTCAGAGACCAGGTCCAGAGGGTGTTCCAACGGGTCACAGTCCCCCAACTCAGCTGAAGACCAGAGACCAGGTGAGACACATACCAGAGAGAGGAACCAGAGAGAGGGACCAGAGAGAGGGACCAGAGAGAGGAACCAGAGAGAGGAACCAGAGAGAGGAACCAGAGAGAGGAACCAGAGAGAGGAACCAGAGAGAGGGACCAGAGAGAGGAACCAGAGAGACACCAGTGAGAGGAACCAGAGAGACACCAGAGAGACACCAGGGAGAGGAACCAGAGAGAGGAACCAGAGAGAGGAACCAGAGAGAGGAACCAGAGAGAGGAACCAGAGAGAGAGACCAGAGAGAGAGACCAGAGAGAGAGAGACCAGAGAGAGAGACCAGAGAGAGAGACCAGAGAGAGACCAGAGAGAGGAACCAGAGAGACACCAGGGAGAGGAACCAGAGAGACACCAGAGAGACACCAGCGAGAGGAACCAGAGAGAGGAACCAGAGAGAGGAACCAGAGAGAGGAACCAGAGAGAGGAACCAGAGAGAGGAACCAGAGAGAGGAACCAGAGAGAGGAACCAGAGAGAGAGACCAGAGAGAGAGACCAGAGAGAGAGACCAGAGAGAGACCAGAGAGAGACCAGAGAGAGGAACCAGAGAGAGAGACCAGAGAGAGAGACCAGAGAGAGAGACCAGAGAGAGAGACCAGAGAGAGAGGTAGTGCCCTGCACTGCCCTATTATCTGGGCCAGAGCCCGGCCTGGCCCGACAGGTTTTCAGAATTCTCTTTTCAAGCCCGACTTTTTTTAATTTATTTTTTACCTCCCATAACAATGTTTTAGCGCAGTATAGTGTGGCACAGCTGCATGATACACAGCTGCATGATACACAGCTGTATGAAGGTAACACTGTCGTCATGACAACACTACACAGAACAACAAACACTACAGTTAAGCCACATGCTAGATTGAATAAAATTAACTTCCGTTCCAGCGTCATGGGAAATACTTTTTTTCACCGTTTTCTGAAAGCCTTTAATATGAACACAATCTGAAGTTTCCACACAAAGAATCCTTGTCGTACTTTTGTTAGGGCTGAAATTTGAACTTTTTTATCATGTAAAGTAGTATGTAAACTGCCATTGACCCACTTTCAACCAATCAGAGCGCCGGATTTCTTTGACATGAAGTCAGTGAGTCGGTGTGTTTGTCAACAAAGATGGCAGCCCCCGGTTGCAAGAGGCAACCAGGGTGTCCTCCGGGTGCTCCGGTTTCCCCTACCACTAAAAACATGTACAATAAGTCTGGCATGTGATGGGAGCGAGCTGTAGGTGACCTCGCTCCCGTCTCAGTGTGGGGGGAGAGACAAATGCCCAGAAATAACAATTGTAAAGCTCTTTGTGACTCTGGTCTGAGACGCTATATAAATAACTATCACTTACTTACATAAATGATCGGCAGAGGGTGAGGGTTATCATTTATCAATCAATGGATGCAACATGATGCGCAATGAACAATGACTGACTGCATGGCATGGTCAGTATGGGCGTGGCATGGTCAGTATGGGCGTGGCATGGTCAGTATGGGCGTGGCATGGTCAGTATGGGCGTGGCATGGTCAGTATGGGCGTGGCATGGTCAGTATGGGCGTGGCATGGTCCAATGAGATGGTACCTGTGCTAACACCAGTAAGACCAAGCTACCATATTCCATCCAACATCGTGCCTTAGGCCTACCTCGTAAGAAATCCAAAAACAAAATAAAAAATATTTGTGTCAATCTCTGCACCTTTGCTGGATTTGGCTTAAAAAGTTAAAGCTGCACAAACTGACTTTATTTTTGTATTAATTACGAAAGTGCTATCCATGTCCATGCAGTGCATTGGGATATACGTCCTTTAGAAGAAAAAGTAGCGCAGATTTGTGCTGGCGTGACATTATATTTTAGATCGAGTTTTGATGAAACAAGGAAGAGAATGTGTTTTGGGTCTCAGATTGTGACCAATCACAGTGGACCACTGGCCCCCACTTTCGTGAGAAATCTCCAGGTCCGTTAGCACAGACGGCTGAGTTAGCACAACAAGCGGCGGAGCTAACCTGAAACTTCCTCGTCTTCGTCACCGGTTACTGCTTACACAGCGAGACAGCCTTCCCAAAGAAAGTCCCGTTCCTCCGCACTTCCCGGTTCTATCGTTCTATGGTCACGCCATCCACGTGCAAATCCATATCCATGTATTATCCATATTGGGAGACGCTAGCTCCGTCAACAACAGTGGGTGTGTGTGGGGGCGATAGCTTCGTGGGTGCGGGGAGGGGAGCAGAAAGAGCGAGGCCAAAGTCAGTTAGTGCAGCTTTAATAATTAGCCTAAAATTCCTTTGCAGGCGCACCCCTCAAAACGTTTTGGGCTCTGCCACTGACGACACCATATCCATTAAAGACCTTATGACGGGTTTGATTTATTTCGAAATACAGTTTTAATACCATTTTATATTAGAAGAGAACTACTAAAGGTTTCAAAATCAGTTGTTTTTTTTGTCTGATCCCCCCAAATCGAAATAACCCCATAGCAACGCCCTTAGAAACAAAAAAACTTCACAGCCCTTGGTGACGTCAGAGTGGGTACGTTTCAATGCTGTAAGTTGTTTACAATTTGGTATTCGTTCTTTTTTCGCGGATATTCAAGATGACAAGGCCGTGTACAGCGAGTCTAAGATTACAACTAGAATGTAACATTGTGTTGTTACTGAGATAGTCCAGTGGTTGTGTCGATGGACTGACAATCCAGATACTGTGTGTGTTGGGCATCAGTGGAGAGAAGAGAGAAAAGGCAGTCCTGTGGCATAGATCCATGGTTTTCAATGCATGGGCGTTACCCGCTGTGACGTCACACACAGGTTAGAGCATAGACAACTTAAATTCATGAAAAACACGTTCTTTTTATAAAATATAGGATTTTTTTTGCCGGAATCTCTTTCAAATTGACATTGTCATGCAATTTTGATATCCACTATTTTTAAAAAAAAAAACCCGTCATAAGGTCTTTAATGATTATTATGCCCAATTATGCATTACTATAATAATCATTGACTGACTGACCATGCCACGCCCACGCTGACCACGCCACGCCCATTCTGATCATGCCACGCCCATTCTGATCATGCCACGCCCATTCTGACCTTACCACGCCCATTCTGACCATACCACGCCCATTCTGGCCATACCACGCCCATGCTGACCATGCCGACCACACCACGTCCATGCTGACCATGCCACGCCCATGCTGACCATGCCACGCCCATGCTGACCATGCCACGCCCATGCTGACCATGCTGAGCATCATCTTTGAGGTATTTGAAGGAAAGTCAACAATCATTAGACATAAAATCAGTTTATGGTAGTTTTTCCAGTTTAGTGCCTAAATTTGAATGTCATCAATTTTCATAATAATTTTGGATATTCAAATATTTCGTCAATAATAGTAATATTCCAGGAATACATCATTTTTGGTGTGATCTCTAAGGCCAAGTCATTTGGTTTTTGATTAAAAAAGTAGTTCTGCAATTAGAAACCTCCAAACATGGTACATCAGACTAAAATCTATGTAGCTCTCAATCAGTGTATTTTATTTACACACCAAAACACGTTACGTTTCGTCTGAGGCCCTTCGTCAGACATAAAATCCAGACACACCTGGTAACAATTTTAAAGATCCAGTCACGTGACCGGATTTTTTTCACTGTTTTTACGTCTTAAATTTTGATCAAAACCACAACTTTGACAACATTTTTCTCATTACCGACAAGGATTCTGTTTGTAGACTTTTTCGCGGCTAACTGTAACTATTTAGCATTAACATAAAGCAAAAAGAAAAGAACTAGCACATGGCCGACAGTGTGATAGAACTGTCTTCAGTGCGAGTTCCTGAATGTGATCTGCCGCTCTGAAAATGAATAAATAAAAGTGTCGAGGTCATTATACAGTCATCGGTCTGAAGCCCAGTCCTCGGGCTGGCGGCCTCTAGGGCTCAAGTGCAGGGCTCTAGAGAGAGGGACCAGAGAGAGACCAGAGAGAGACCAGAGAGAGACCAGAGAGAGAGACCACAGAGAGAGACCAGAGAGAGAGACCAGAGAGAGAGACCAGAGAGAGAGACCAGAGAGAGAGACCAGAGAGAGACCAGAGAGAGACCATGTCCTCACCCTGGAGAGAGAAGGCTGCCAGCTCCACGGCCGTCTCGAAAGGACACTCAAGTCTGGAACAGAGGTCACAGAGGTCAGAGGTCACAAAGGTCAGAGGTCTCAGAGGTCAGAGGTCATGTACTGTGTTTATAAAAGCGCTCACTTTCCAGAGAGGACGTCCTGCTTCAACTGCAGCACGAACAGATACCTGCAACAGACACTGGGTTAGAGAGACCTGGACCTGGACAAGGACCTGGACCTGAACCTGGACCAGGATCAGGACCTGGACCAGGATCAGGACCTGGACCAGGATCAGGACCTGGACCAGGATCAGGACCTGGACCAGGATCAGGACCTGGACCAGGAGCAGGACCTGGACCAGGAGGACCAGGACCTGGACCAGGATCAGGACCTGGACCAGGATCAGGACCAGGACCAGGATCAGGACCTGGACCAGGATCAGGACCAGGACCAGGATCAGGACCAGGATCAGGACCAGGATCAGGACCTGGACCAGGATCAGGACCAGGATCAGGACCAGGATCAGGACCTGGACCAGGATCAGGACCAGGATCAGGACCAGGATCAGGACCTGGACCAGGATCAGGACCTGGACCAGGATCAGGACCTGGACCAGGATCAGGACCAGGATCAGGACCTGGACCAGGATCAGGACCTGGACCAGGATCAGGACCTGGACCTGGACCTGGATCAGGACCTGGACCTGGACCTGGACCAGGATCAGGACCAGGACCAGGATCAGGACCTGGACCAGGACCAGGATCAGGACCAGGACCAGGACCAGGACCAGGATCAGGACCTGGACCAGGACCAGGATCAGGACCAGGATCAGGACCTGGACCAGGACCAGGATCAGGACCAGGACCAGGATCAGGACCAGGACCAGGACCAGAATCAGGACCAGGATCAGGACCTGGACCAGGACCAGGATCAGGACCAGGATCTGGACCAGGATCAGGACCTGGACCAGGACCAGGATCAGGACCAGGATCTGGACCAGGATCAGGACCAGGACCAGGACCTGGACCAGGATCAGGACCAGGATCAGGACCAGGATCAGGACCTGGACCAGGACCAGGACCAGGACCTGGACCAGGATCAGGACCTGTACCTGGACCAGGACCTGGTCTCATCAGCATCTTGCTCCTACAGATCTGAACTCTTGTATCTGCTTCAACTTTAGTTCACTGTGTATTCCCCATGTATTAAAGGAGCACTCGGAGAGAGCAGACCTCTGCCAAGAAGACAAGAAGAAGGATGTTGTGAAGAAGAGGAGGTGATGATTGAGAGGAGGTGATGAAGAAGAGGAAGAGGTGATGAAGAGGAGGTGATGAAGAAGAGGAAGGGGTGATGAAGAGGAGGTGATGATGGAGAGGAGGTGATGAAGAAGAGGAGGTGATGAAGAAGAGGAAGTGATGAAGAAGAGGAAGGGGTGATGATGGAGAGGAGGTGATGATGGAGAGGAGGTGGTGAAGAAGAGGTGGTGATGATGGAGAGGAGGTGATGAAGAAGAGGTGGTGATGAAGAAGAAGAGGTGATGAAGAAGAGGAAGGGGTGATGAAGAGGAGGTGATGATGGAGAGGAGGAGGAGGTGATGAAGAGGAGGAGGTGATGAAGAGGAGGTGATGATGAAGAGGAGGTGATGAAGAGGAGGTGATGATGAAGAGGAGGTGATGATGAAGAGGAGGTGATGATGAAGAGGAGGTGATGAAGAGGAGGTGATGATGAAGAGGAGGTGATGATGAAGAGGAGGTGATGATGGAGAGGAGGTGATGATGAAGAAGAGGAGGTGATGAAGAAGAGGAAGTGATGAAGAAGAGGAGGTGATGAAGAAGAGGAAGGGGTGATGAAGAGGAGGTGATGAAGAAGAGGTGATGAAGAAGAGGAGGTGATGAAGAGGAGGTGATGAAGAAGGGGTGATGATGAAGAGGAGGTGATGATGAAGAGGAGGTGATGATGAAGAGGAGGTGATGATGAAGAGGAGGTGATGATGAAGAGGAGGTGATGAAGAAGAGGAGGTGATGAAGAGGAGGTGATGATGGAGAGGAGGTGATGATGAAGAAGAGGAGGTGATGAAGAAGAGGAAGGGGTGATGAAGAAGAGGAAGGGGTGATGAAGAGGAGGTGATGAAGAAGAGGTGATGAAGAAGAGGAGGTGAAGAAGAGGAGGTGATGAAGAGGAGGTGATGAAGAAGGGGTGATGAAGAAGGGGTGATGATGAAGAGGAGGTGATGAAGAGGAGGTGATGATGAAGAGGAGGTGATGATGAAGAGGAGGTGATGACGGAGAGGAGGTGATGAAGAGGAGGTGATGAAGAAGAGGAAGGGGTGATGAAGAGGAGGTGATGATGAAGAGGAGGTGATGAAGAGGAGGTGATGATGAAGAGGAGGTGATGAAGAAGAGGTGATGAAGAAGAGGTGGTGATGAAGAAGAAGAGGTGATGAAGAGGAGGTGATGACGGAGAGGAGGTGATTAAGAGGAGGTGATGAAGAAGAGGAGGTGATGAAGAGGAGGTGATGAAGAGGAGGTGATGATGAAGAGGAGGTGATGAAGAAGAGGAGGTGATGAAGAGGAGGTGAACGAGAGAGTACACTCCACAGGCTCAGTGGTACAGAGAGGACAAGAGAGCAAACTCCACAGGCTCAGTGCTACAGAGAGGACGAGAGAGCAAACTCCACAGGCTCAGTGCTACAGAGAGGACGAGAGAGCAAACTCCACAGGCTCAGTGCTACAGAGAGGACGAGAGAGTACACTCCACAGGCACAGTGGTACAGAGAGGAACGAGAGAGCGAACTCCACAGGCTCAGTGCTACAGAGAGGACGAGAGAGCGAACTCCACAGGCTCAGTGCTACAGAGAGGACGAGAGAGTACACTCCACAGGCTCAGTGGTACAGAGAGGACGAGAGAGCGAACTCCACAGGCTCAGTGCTACAGAGAGGACGAGAGAGCGAACTCCACAGGCTCAGTGCTACAGAGAGGACGAGAGAGCAAACTCCACAGGCTCAGTGCTACAGAGAGAACGAGAGAGAAAACTCCACAGGCTCAGTGCTACAGAGAGGACGAGAGCGAACTCCACAGGCTCAGTGGTACAGAGAGGACGAGAGAGCGAACTCCACAGCTCAGTGCTACAGAGAGGACGAGAGAGCGAACTCCACAGGCTCAGTGCTACAGAGAGGACGAGAGAGCGAACTCCACAGGCTCAGTGGTACAGAGAGGACAAGAGAGCGAACTCCACAGCTCATGGTACAGAAGGACGAGAGAAGCGAACTCCACAGCGCTAGGCGAGGGGGGGGGGGGGGGTAAGAGAGGACGAGAGAGATTAAGGAGGAGGATGGGAAGGTAAGGTAAGTTAGGTAAGAAGATTGAATGAGGAGAAGAGCAGAAGGACAAAGAGAGATGAGAAGAGAGAGGTAGAAGGAGAGAGGAGACAGAGAGGCTTAGAGGAGAAAGGTGAGAAGGTCTCTCAGGAGTCTCTCAGGAGTCTCTCAGGGGTCTCTCAGGAGTCTCTCAGGAGTCTCTCAGGAGTCTCTCAGGAGTCTCTCAGGAGTCTCTCAGGAGTCTCTCAGAGTCGCTCAGGGTCTCTCAGAGTCCCTCAGGGTCTCTTCTCCTCAGGAGTCTCTCAGAGTCACTCAGGAGTCTCTCAGGAGTCTCTCAGGAGTCTCTCAGGAGTCTCTCAGGAGTCTCTCAGGAGTCTCTCAGGAGTCTCTCAGGAGTCTCTCAGGAGTCTCTCAGGAGTCTCTCAGGAGTCTCTCAGGAGTCTCTCAGGAGTCTCTCAGGAGTCTCTCAGGGGTCTCTCAGGAGTCTCTCAGGGGTCTCTCAGGAGTCTCTCAGGAGTCTCTCAGGGGTCTCTCAGGGGTCTCTCAGGGGTCTCTCAGGAGTCTCTCAGGAGTCTCTCAGGAGTCTCTCAGGAGGAGTCTCTCAGGAGTCTCTCAGGAGTCTCTCAGGGTCTCTCAGGGTCTCTCAGGAGTCTCTCAGGGTCTCTCAGGGGTCTCTCAGGAGCCATTTTTATTGCCACGTAAGTAACAGGAAGTCACAGACTTGGAAATAGTTTTGGTTCAGTGCAACAGTCAAAAAGAGAGGTAAAGAATAGAGAATGGAGTAAGGCATCATAAGAACAATAAATATTAGCATACACTTCTACGGTATAAAATTTTAAATAGAATTATTATGATTACAATTACAGTAACTATGTACTATATACAAGTGCACATGGTGCACACAATATGCAATAGGCAGTGCAATGGGGTGACAAGCAGTAAAGTAACGTTATGATGGGCAGTAAAGTGACTTTATAAAGGGCAGTAAAGTGACTTTATAAAGGGCAGTAAAGTGACTTTATAAAGGGCAGTAAAGTGACTTTATAAAGGGCGGGGGGACAGGTTAAGAAGTGTTCAAGAGTCCAACAGCAGAGGGGAAGAAACTGTTCTTGTGGCGGGAGGTTCTAGTCCTGATGGACCGCAGCCTCCTGCCTGAGGGGAGTTGTTGGAATAGTCCAGGGGTGAGAGGGGAGTGGTTGGAATAGTCCATGTACAGGGTGAGAGGGGAGTGGTTGGAATAGTCCATGTGCAGGTGAGAGGGGAGTGGTTGGAATAGTCCATGTGCAGGGTGAGAGGGGAGTGGTTGGAATAGTCCATGTGCAGGTGAGAGGGGTCGGCTGTGATACGACCAGCCCGGCCTCGAGCTCGGGCGACGTACAGGTCCTGCAGCGATGGAAGGCTGCGGCCGGTCACTTCCTCTGCAGAGCGCACAATGCACTGTAGTCTCTGTTTGTCCCTGACTGTGGCTCCATGGTGGCGGGTGAGATACCATCCGGGCCGGCAGCACTACGGAGAGGCAGCCTGGAGAACTGTTGCCTGGTCTCGCCTGGAGGTTTCAGGAGCATCAAAGCGTAGACCCAGGACTGAGGCTGTAGGCCCAGGACTGAGGCTGTAGACCCAGGACTGAGGTTGTAGACCCAGGACTAAGGCTGTAGACACAGGACTGAGGCTGTAGACCCAGGACTGAGGCTGTAGACCCAGGACTGAGGTTGTAGACCCAGGACTGAGGCTGTAGCCCCAGGACTAAGGCTGTAGACCCAGGACTGAGGCTGTAGACCCAGGACTGAGGCTGTAGACCCAGGCCTGAGGCTGTAGACCTGGGACTGAGCTGGTGTTCCCTCTGGTGTGTTTCAGGGGTGGTGATGGGAGATCGTGCCACAAAGACCGCTCTGTGGCTCACTCACAGCACTCCTCAGTTCCCAAAGAGAAACCAGAACCATTTCTGGCCTCTCAGCGGCGCAAAGAACGGCCAGACCTTCCTGTGTGTGTCGCTGCCGTTCGCTGAGCTCGGGAAAGTGGGTAAGAATGTTTCCTTCATGGTGCCTCCTGACCACACTCTGGCCGTTGATGGTTCCAGTTGTGGGTGACGTTTGCTTTGTTCAGGGCAACACCTGCGGTACATCCGAGCCTATTCCTTTGACTTCGACCTTCCCACCGACTTCCCAAATGAACTCCAGAATGCAGCCAGCTGGTTATTCCCCGCGGCGGGAAACACAGAGCTGGGAAATTTCCAGGTGATGTCCACCAGGGGCAGTGTGGAGCTGAAGATGATGGCCAAACCAACTGGTACATCAGTCACAGGTGAGAAGGAGTCTCTCTGCAGACACTACGACCAGAACAAGTCTCTCCCTGGTCCCTCTTTGGTCTCTCTCTGGTCTCTCTCTGGTCTCTCTCTGGTCTCTCTCTCTGGTCCCTCTTTGGTCTCTCTCTGGTCTCTCTTTGGTCTCTCTCTGGTCTCTCTCTGGTCTCTCTCTCTGGTCTCTCTCTGGTCTCTCTCTCTGGTCCCTCTTTGGTCTCTCTCTGGTCTCTCTTTGGTCTCTCACTGGTCTCTCTCTGATTTCTCACTGGTCTCTCTCTGGTCTCTCTCTGGTCTCTCTCTGGTCTCTGTCTGATGTGCTCTCTCGTCCGTCTGATGTGCTCTCTGGTCTCAGTTGGAGACCTGTACGTGAAGTTGGCGGCGGGCTTGAACAGTGACGTGCGCGTTCACGTCTGGGGCTGTCAGCGAGACGAGAGCTTCTGTGATAGGGGTCAGAAGCAGGTGCTGAGCGTGGAGAGACTCAACACGGGCATCGGCATATGGCAGACCGGCAGAGACCACTCCAAATGGGCCGTGACCACAGCCCCCGGCGTCACCTGGACCTGCTTTGGAGACGTGAACCGCAAGGACACGCAGTACGAGCGCTGGGGCGGCGCTCTCTGCATCCAGAACGCTCAGCTCAACCACTTGTTCAAAGACATCAGCGATCAGACCCTGCAGTGCCGCAAGAGGCCCCACGCCTGCTCCGACGACGAACTGAGCTCTGGATCTGACTCCGACTCCAGCTTTCGCTGAGTCTTCACTTAAAGCTGATGTTCGTAAATGTCACAACACGACAATAAACTCTGTAAGAAACCTACGCCTGGTTATTCATGTACTTCTACATCAGCTGTGTCTGGCCTCCCTCTGATCTGCCTCTGATCTCCCTCGGGTCTCCCTCGGGTCTCTCTGGTCTCTCTCTGGTCTCTCTCTCTGGTCTCTCTTTGGTCTCTCTCTCTAGCCTCCCTCTGGTCTCCCTCTGGTCTCCCTCTGGTCTCCCTCTGGTCTCCCTCGGGTCTCTCTCTGGTCTCTCTCTGGTCTCTCTCTGGTCTCTCTCTGGTCTCCCTCTGGTCTCCCTCTGGTCTCCCTCTGGCCTCCCTCTGGCCTCCCTCTGGTCTCCCTCTGGTCTCCCTCTGGCCTCCCTCTGGCCTCCCTCTGGCTTCCCTCGGGTCTCCCTCTGGTCTGTCTCTAGTCTCCCTCTGGTCTCCCTCGGGTCTCCCTCGGGTCTCCCTCGGGTCTGTCTCTGGTCTCCCTCGGGTCTCCCTCTGATCTCCCTCGGGTCTCCCTCTGGCCTCCCTCTGATCTCCCTCTGGTCTCCCGCGGGTCTCCCTCGGGTCTCTCTCGGGTCTCTCTCAGGTCTCCCTCTGGTCTCCCTCGGGTCTCCCTCGGGTCTCTCTCGGGTCTCCCTCGGGTCTCCCTCTGGTCTCCCTCTGGTCTCCCTCGGGTCTCCCTCGGGTCTCTCTCGGGTCTCTCTCGGGTCTCCCTGGGGTCTCCCTGGGGTCTCCCTGGGGTCTCCCTCTGGCCTCCCTCTGGCCTCCCTCTGGTCTCCCTCTGGTCTCCCTCGGGTCTCTCTCGGGTCTCTCTCGGGTCTCTCTCGGGTCTCTCTCGGGTCTCCCTCTGGTATAAGGAACATACAAACACAGTCAAGTCTCGTTGAACACATTTATTTATCAGTTAAAGTAAAGGACAGTGAATCTAACCAAGAACCATCACTGCCGTTTATCTAGCTGCCTTTAGCCTAGCACGTTTGTTAGCGATGGTCGCTCGCAGGAGTGGACCGGCAAAATGGCGCCGCTTGCTACGTGACGTCACCCTCCGAAGCTCTATGTTTATTTACACTTTTTGACATGCGCAAAATGAACTTCCGGACAAATCTGGTTTCTGGGACGAATCTGGTTTCTGGGACGAATCCAGCAGCCACACTCCTCGTGGTTGATGCCGGTCCCAACAGGCCAAGCGTGTTGCTGATGACATAATGACCTATGGCAATACATGGTTTTCCATCACGTGCTTATTACCCATGATGCTTTGCGCGAACGCCATGTTGCGAGTCAAGCTTATATTGCACGGATCATTTGTCACGGATCATTTGTCACGGATCATTTGTCCCCATGTCATCTAAAGTCACGCATTGGGCCGACACTGAGCACGTTAAGTTATTGATACACTGGAGTAATCTGTGAGGCAAGATCTTTGAGAAATTGAGAATGATCGGAAATTTGGATCCATATGAAACGCAGCGACTTGGCCCGAAATGGCTTACTTTCACTGAACAGTTTTACAATTAAAAAAAGGTCATGATGTACTGTATATGATGCAATATTTCTTTCCATTAATGATTTATTTTGAACGAAGCAGTTGATATCACAGGCCGTAAATCCCTTCTACCACCCTCCCCCCTCCTCCTCCCCCTCTCATTCATTTAGATGAGAGGCTCGAGGCGCCAGTATAGACTTAGTATCACAGTCAAATCTCTGAATATAAACCACACATGCACAGATTTACCTGTTATGAAATGGTCAAAACAGACCTTATAGTGGCATTTTTCGGGGGTTAGGGTTGAATCCCTCTGGTTGATCCTCGCAAACTAAAGGGTTCTTTTCTCTGTCCCGAGTCTCTCCCCTGGCTCCTAATAACCTTCGGAATGTCCCCACAATCGGCACGGTTACTGCACCCCCAAACGATGCAGGCAGTCGGCATGTTTTAGCGCAAAATGTGATATGCTACGCTTTGTTTACCTCCAACTAGCGGCGGCTTGACTTGCAAGATGGTGAACTGCGGAATTGTGGGTATTGCATGACGTCAAAGGAAAATCATGTATATGCCGGTATAACAACAATCTCTATCGTTGGCCAAAGCTTTACCGCATACCACTTATACCGTTTATATCGCCCAAGTGATGATGTCATTTCTTTTCCCAAACTCAAGAAAGACAATAATAATGGAACAAATATGGGGCTCAGCCTAAACTTGACAAAACAAAGAGGTTTCTCACCATCATCTGTGCTTCTTAGCAGGTTTTCCCAACGTTTCGTCCTTAATCCAAAGAACTTTTTCAAGGGAATGACATCTCAGACTGCGAGTTGGAGATTTATCATTTATATATTTGTTTTGACTAATCCCTGTACGACTGAGAGCTTACACAACATGACAACAGGAGTGGAATATTGCTGCAGTGGAAAGTTTTAATGTTTTCACTAACACTGAGAATGTTTTCAGCAACAAAGTGAGCGTCCAGTCAAGGACGTAGATAAAACATGCTAATGGGAGACACATGAGTGTTAAGACATTCTCAGTATACTCTGCCAAAGAACGCTCACTCCAAAGTTGTTTTTACAAAACCATGGTGTAAATAAACTGTTGATCCACACGGGGGCAGTAGACATGCAGGAGGAGACAAGGAAGGAGCAGGGAAGGTACTCTTTTACTGGACAACACTACAAAGATGGACAAGACCACCCACCGTCGAGTAGAGTAGAGTAGAGTAGAGTAGAGTAGAATATAGAGTAGAGCAGAATATAGAGTAAAGTAGAGTAGAGTAGAGTACAATATAGAGTAGAGTAGAGCAGAATATAGAGTAAAGTAGAGTAGAGTAGTGTCGAGTAGAGTAGTGTAGAGTAGAGTACAATATAGAGTAGAGTAGAATATAGAGTAGAGCAGAATATAGAGTAGAGTAGAGTAGAGTAGTGTAAAGTAGAGTACAATATAGAGTAGAAGTAGAGTAGAGTAGAATATAGAGTAAAGTAGAGTAGAGTAGTGTAGAGTAGAGTACAATATAGAGTAGAGTAGTGTAGTGTAGAGTAGAGTAGAGTAGAGTAGAGTAGAGTACAATATAGAGTAGAGTAGAATATAGAGTAGAGCAGAATATAGAGTAAAGTAGAGTAGTGTAGAGTAGAGAAGAGTAGTGTAGAGTACAATATAGAGTAGAGTAGAGTAGAGTAGTGTAGAGTACAATATAGAGTAGAGTCGTGTAGAGTAGAGTAGTGTAGAGTACAATATAGAGAGTAGAGTAGTGTAGAGTACAGATGTAGAGTAGAGTAGAGTAGTAGAGTAGAAGTAGAGTAGAGTAGAATATAGAGTACAGCAGAATATAGAGTAGAGTAGTGTAGAGTAGAGAAGAGTAGTGTAGAGTACAATATAGAGTAGAGTAGAGCAGAATATAGAGTAGAGTAGAGTAGTGTAGAGTACAATATAGAGTAGAGTCGTGTAGAGTAGAGTAGTGTAGAGTACAATATAG